CGAGAGGGATGGCTTAGGTACCACCAGTCTGTAGAAGCACATGATTGAGCTGATTGAACGAGCCAAAGTGTTCAAGGATCGACCCTATCCGATGCCTCCGCGAAGCAGAAGGTGGTCGAGGACGAGGTCGACAAGATGCTAGCGTTCGGAGTCATCGAGTAAAAGCGCCTGGAGCAACCGCATCACCGTAGTGTCAAAGTCTGGAATTGGCCATTAGAGATGCTTACCCGTTGCCCAGCTAGACGGCATCCTGCCCAGAATCGACCAAACGTATTACATTTTCAGCGTAAGTTCGCTTTCTGGCAGATTGAGTTGGACACGAACAGCAAGGAATACACAGCACTTACGGTTCCTGGTCTGTCTGTTTACCAGTTCCGTGTGATGCCTTTTGGACTGTGTAACGCATCACAGAGGCTGGTGAGACTCATGGACCGAGTGATTCCAGCTGAGATCCAGGGCGTGTATCAGCTATTAGGAGAATGCCTGAGCCAAGGACCATGAAGGAAATGAGAGCCGTTCTTGGAACCGCTGGTTGGTACCGTCGGTTTATACGTTGGCAGCTCCGCTTACGGAATCCTTGAAGAGGACTGGAAATAAAAAGTTTTCCTTGAGTCCAGAAGCAAAGCTGGCAGTGGAGTCCTTGAAAATGGCCCTTGCAACTGCGCCAGTTTTGGTACATGCTGACTTCAAGCGGCACTTTTTCATCCAGTGCGATGCATCCCAGATCGGAGTCGGTAAAGTGTTGTTCCAGCGGGATGAAGTCGGCCAGGAGCAGCCAATAGCGTTTTTTTCGGCCTAGATGAATCGTCACCAAGTTCACTACACCGTCACCGAAAGAGGTATTTCACTCCAACATCGACCACAGGAAGCGATAACGTCGTGGCAGATACCCTTTCGCGTTGTGTTGAAGAGCTAACGGTGGACCCGTCACAGTTGCTCGGCTTCGAGACCACCGAGTTTACTGGGGAAAAAAACACGGAGGTGTTACAAGTAGAAAAAAACTTGGCCTGACCTGATTTGGGGATAGTGGACGGTCTCATCTTCAAGAGAGTCTTCTTCAAATCTGGATGATGGAAGGCTTCGTATGGAAATTGTGGATTCCCCAGAGTCCGATCCACAGCATAATTGAGCGTGCACATTCGGATCCAACGGCAGCTCATGGCGGAATGGGACAAATTCTGGAAAATCTAAGGCGGCAGTTTTACTGGCCTGGCATGGCACTGCAATTCCGGGAGTCCATACGCAGGTGTGAAGTGTGCAAGGAGACGAAATCCCCGAATTTCCGGATGCAAGTTGGTATCGGTGAAAGAGTCCAGACTGAGCAGCCATTTCAGAAGCTGTACATCGATTTCCTGGGGAGCTGATGGTATTGCAAACTGTTAGCCCTGCACGCGTTTAAATCCGGCTCTAACTCGTCAGCGAATGTCGTGGTGTTCTTGAGAGGCTGCAGCTTACGGATGCTCTTGAATATCTTTAACAATTAAAATGTATCGCGTGCAAACAGGCAACGAGCCAATATCGGCCGGAAAAGAGATAGCATAACAAACAGACAGATAGAAATAGCACTTCTCAGATTACACGCCCCTAGATGTAAATGGGGTGTTATCAGCCCAATAAAATACTGCATCAGGCCCCTTTAAATAATTGATTTTAAGACGGCTCTCGGGTCAGCACGGAGTTAAAAATATGATTGTTTACTCAGACATTATAATCATTGTTTATTTACTAAATATAAAAGGGAAAGATATAGACTTCATTTAAAATTAGATATTTTTGTACACAGGTATTGTTTAAAACTAGCATGCATAATCCTTAATAAAACTGTAAATTTTCATAACTTCATATATCGTGCGATCTCAATTACGGTAACTAAAGAATAATAAAATATATTTAAATTTAATATTACAAATTTACTCTTTTTTTTACTGTTTGTTTCATAAGAAAAATTATCGTTAGCAATCAGACATTTTATTTAGTATTTATTTACTTTACATTTTATTTAGTATTACTTTACACTCGATCACTTAATTGCGTAATAAAATTACGGATAACTCTCACGAACTTTAAATTTGCCGCAGGGTATAAAACTGTCATACTTGGCTCACCTGAGATATCCCACTAATGAAAGCGCTTCCATATGTTGGTGGTGTTGATGAAAAATTGTAAACAAATGCAAACCAAAGAAGTTCGGCAATTATTACCTTATTGGCTCATACGTCTGCACATATTAAACGTGACCGAAATTTGCATACACATCTCTTAAATTTTACATGTTCCTACTCTTTGCCTATATTCGCATCTTTTTACTCTATTTATAACTAACGATAAAAAAAACTTTCGAACTTCTTGTTCTCTCCTCATGTTCAACTAATTCTCATTTTCATATTCATATTTCGTTTAACATTTTAACATTTTAACTTAACCTTTAACCTTATCTTATACGATTTCTTTGTCTTCATTGGGTTTTATGTGGCGATTTCAAATGTAGTACACTTTATTTGCGTAAACAACTGGGATTGCTTTTACTTTGGTGTTTACATTTAGGTTTGCGTTTACTTTTACATGCATTCAGCATTGCGCTCACTTTTACCCATGTATATTTTTTGTTTACTTTTATATGTGCATATAGCTTGCGTTTACTTTAATACACTTCACTATGGGAATTACTACTGTAGGCCATAGCTGTTGATTAGCTGAGCACAGACGAATTTATAAACACTTTTTGGTATGCACTTTAATTAGTTCGACAGACGTATGATACCAAAAAAAAATGCACTGTACACTATTGCGGCATGCTGTTGGCGCTGGTTATGTTGAGCTCCTGATGGGGTTTCCTTATCCTCGTTGCACCGGGGTTTAGTTGAAGACGTTGGCGAACTGAACTGCCTTTTTGGGGCAGAAATGACTGGTGATACGATCGCCGGCGGTACTCGGCGACGAAAGGGCATGTAAGAATGCCGTCCCCTATGTCAAATAAAACGCCTGAATGAGGGAATATTCACTTGCACCGGTTATAGGTTATGACTTACCCGTGAGGGGGTAGTAATTAACCGTTTTGGCCAGAATCTGGCCAAGAATTGGTTCACTGCGACTGTAACACCTTATGCCGTGCAAAAATTTGTGCAGTGGTGAGCTGTGAAAGTCTTGATCGGCCACAACCTCTTTACTTTTAGTTGTATTATCGCTGTTGTTATGCCAGCTATACAACCGCTCAGGTCGAGACTCAGATTAAGAAGAAATCATGAGGTTTTCGAGGGCGGATATTACATGATGGGTTACAACCGGGATTAGAGCTGGGTTTTCGCTAAAAACCTTAACGCTAATGCAGTCCTACCTATTGACGATTAATCTTCCACTTTAAGGTTGCCATTTACAGCCTATACCGCCCGCTAGGTGGCACAACTAAACATACGATATGTCTTTCTATACTCCACTACAGGTGCCCATCCGCAACGCGATTCATTCCGCAACCGGAGAAGCTCCGTTCTTCACCTTATTCGGATGACACATCTTCCTGAACGGAGAAAGCTTCAAGTTGGCAAGGATGTTGAAGTCGCTGTGTGATCACGAAATGGCGGGCATCAGAACGTTTGATAAACTCCAAGTGATCCATGACAAGGTGCTGAAGAACCTCGAAAATGCATACGATCGGAGACGCCTGCGGTACGACAAAAGGTCTCGTACTTTCCTTGCTCGGACCACTAACCATACAACATATAGACTGGTCATTTCATACAAGGCATTTGGACACAAAAAAACGGATCACGGGAAGCCCCCCGTGCTCACAGCAGCAGGCCCCTGCACTTCGTGTGCGTTCGGGTTTTTTGCTCTCTCATTCTTATTCTCATTTTTATGCTCGCGCACTCATTGCACGAGTTCAGTCGTTCAGTCGCAGAGAGGCGCTTTTTGTAGAAGGCTGCCCTGCGCTTGAATTCGTCTTTGTATGTATGCGTGATCATGCATTCTCATACACGGGAGCATGTGTGCATTTTTTAATGATTCGCAGTGTTATTTTAATTATTATCTATATTAATATATAAAATAAAATGTCGGCGAAAAAAATTTTCGATTGAGAATCATTGCACAATTCCTTTATGCCAACCTTTTTTCATTAATAAATTGGCCACATTTTGCCACTGCAATTTTTATACGTTGTTCCAATATTATAAAATGTTCAAAAAATTTTGTATTAATAATTAAATGGTATAATGCTCCTGTTCTAAAGAAAATAAATTTATTTTACTTTCTCTTCTACATGACCAAAATTTGAATCAGAAGGACCTGCTTCCAATTGTGCATGTTTATTTTTGTTTTTATTATTATGATTATTTTCTTTCTCTTTCTCTGTTGCATTTTCAGTTGAAGTCGTCTGGAAAATACCAAAATAAACCGATACGTCAGCAGGTTGCGCTTTCGATAAGATTCGGTGGTGAAACCGACTGTTGATAGTGGAAGAGGATCTAGCTATTCAAATTTAGCCCGGTTCGCTCGTTAAATGGGTTAAATAGCCTTGAATGCGTTTACTGACCCATTTTGGGAGAGCGGAAGGGAAAATAGCGAACGACTTTGGTGTAGGTCAGGGTTTTACATTAGTTGCTGCAAAAAGTCGTAGGCGAACGTTCGGAAAAAAATAGGAGTTCATAAATTCATAATTAGTGCTTAGACAAGTTAAAATGAGTAGTAATTTATTGGTCTTAAACTTATAAATAACAGAGCCCGGAAATTTGGAAGACTCGGGAAGGCAAAACACTTACCTGGTGGACCTAACCTGGTCGTGAAGACCACGTCGTTCACCAGCAGCAGCAGTGATCAGCAGCAGCGATCTGCAGCGGCGATCAGCATCAGCAGCCTCTAGCAACTGCCTGCGAGAGGGCTACATACGGAGATTCCCTCGGTGAGTCCGTTCCGGGAACGAATACCCGCGCTGACTACGTGGTCATCTCTGGGACCACCGTGGTCGGCTCCGGCACCATTTGACGCGAGCTATCCTCCGGACCATTTTGCTCCGTGCGGACTCGCGCTGGTTTTCGCCGCTAGCGATTTTGTGCAGATCCTTGCGTTTTCTTAGTATTTGTGTTTTCATATATCATTTCGGTTTTAAACTAAAATGTGTGGTCGTGACCCGTGACGTCGTTACGTGCTGTTCGACCACCGCGACTTGAATGAAAAGCGAAAATTCAAAAGGAAATCCTATGCGATCCTGCAAACAGCCGAGGCCCTTAACTGGCGAATTTCAGCACGGCTGAAAGTTAGTCCAGTTAACGAGCGGCTTGTTCAGGAGAACAAGGCAGCAAACATGATCACCTGCTTCGGTCGAAGGGTTTTCCCTTCGGTTTCTCTACGTTGAGGACCGCAGGGCTTTAGATTTCCGCGAGAAGCCGCGCCTGTATGCCAATTTTGCGCCGGTAGCCGCCAACCAGCAATGGCGAATTGAGCAGTGGGGAGTATTCTTCGACGGTGAGGATCAACGGAACTCGGTGGAGGATTTTCTCTTCCTGTAGGAGTTCCTGGATCACGGGTTCCGTGACTGCGAGTGTTAGTCTGCTTGGTAAAGGTGGCAGAGAGCTGGTAGAGGTATTAAATGTGCGCGTTGAGAAGTACCTATCCGCAGTCCGAACGGCATCTGGAGAGGATCGGTCGATTATAGGACGGGTCAAGCTACCTGTGGAATACCGAGGACGGACAGAGCACATTCTCTTTTATTTATGTCCTTACCTGGAGCAGCCAGCTTATTTTGGAGTGGATTTTTAGCAAGCGTTCGGACTGGTTCCAGCAATAATAGGCCACATCGCTCCCGAAAGCGTGAAGAAGGCCGAAGAAATACACGCTAGGGAGATGAAGCACTACGCCGAGGTCGAGGATGACGACGAGGAGAAAGTCGATCCCGAGTTCTGGACGTTTTCCAAGGTCGATGAACAAGAGCTGGAGGAGATCAAGAAGCAGTTCGTGACTTTCGAGAGGGATGGCTTAGGTACCACCAGTCTGTAGAAGCACATGATTGAGCTGATTGAACGAGCCAAAGTGTTCAAGGATCGACCCTATCCGATGTCTCCGCGAAGCAGAAGGTGGTCGAGGACGAGGTCGACAAGATGCTAGCGTTCGGAGTCATCGAGTAAAAGCGCCTGGAGCAACCGCATCACCGTAGTGTCAAGGTCTGGAATTGGCCATTAGAGATGCTTACCCGTTGCAACTGCGCCAGTTTTGGTACATGCTGACTTCAAGCGGCACTTTTTCATCCAGTGCGATGCATCTCAGATCGGAGTCGGTGAAGTGTTGTTCCAGCGGGATGAAGTCGGCCAGGAGCAGCCAATAGCGTTTTTTTCGGCCTAGATGAATCGTCACCAAGTTCACTACACCGTCACCGAAAGAGGTATTTCACTCCAACATCGACCACAGGAAGCGATAACGTCGTGGCAGATACCCTTTCGCGTTGTGTTGAAGAGCTAACGGTGGACCCGTCACAGTTGCTCGGCTTCGAGACCACCGAGTTTACTGGGGAGGTGTTACAAGTAGAATAAAACTTGGCCTGACCTGATTTGGGGATAGTGGACGGTCTCATCTTCAAGAGAGTCTTCTTCAAATCTGGATGAATGGATGAATGGCTTCGAATGGAAATTGTGGATTCCCCAGAGTCCGATCCACAGCATAATTGAGCGTGCACATTCGGATCCAACGGCAGCTCATGGCGGAATGGGACAAATTCTGAAAAATCTAAGGCGGCAGTTTTACTGGCCTGGCATGGCACTGCAATTCCGGGAGTCCATACGCAGGTGTGATGTGTGCAAGGAGACGAAATCCCCGAATTTCCGGATGCAAGTTGGTATCGGTGAAAGAGTCCAGACTGAGCAGCCATTTCAGAAGCTGTACATCGATTTCCTGGGGAGCTGATGGTATTGCAAACTGTTAGCACTGCACGCGTTTAAATCCGGCTCTAACTCGTCAGCGAATGTCGTGGTGTTCTTGAGAGGCTGCAGCTTACGGATGCTCTTGAATATCTTTAACAATTAAAATGTATCGCGTGCAAACAGGCAACGAGCCAATATCGGCCGGAAAAGAGATAGCATAACAAACAGACAGATAGAAAAAGCAGACAGAAATGGGGTGTTATCAGCCCAATAAAATACTGCATCAGGCCCCTTTAAATAATTGATTTTAAGACGGCTCTCGGGTCAGCACGGAGTTAAAAATATGATTGTTTACTCAGACATTATAATCATTGTTTATTTACTAAATATAAAAGGGAAAGATATAGACTTCATTTAAAATTAGATAATTTGTACACAGGTATTTTTTAAAACTAGCATGCATAATCCTTAATAAAACTGTAAATTTTCATAACTTCATATATCGTGCGATCTCAATTACGGTAACTAAAGAATAATAAAATATATTTAAATTTAATATTACAAATTTACTCTTTTTTTTTACTGTTTGTTTCATAAGAAAAATTATCGTTAGCATTCAGATATTTTATTTAGTATTTATTTTCTTTACATTTTATTTAGTATTACTTTACACTCGATCACTTAATTGCGTAATAAAATTACGGATAACTCTCAAGACCTTTAAATTTCATACTTGGCTCACCTGAGATATCCCACTAATGAAAGCGCTTCCATATGTTGGTGGTGTTGATGAAAAATTGTAAACAAATGCAAACCAAAGAAGTTCGGCAATTATTACATTATTGGCTCATACGTCTGCACATATTAAACGTGACCGAAATTTGCATACACATCTCTTACATTTTACATGCTCCTACTCTTTGCCTATATTCGCATCTTTTTACTCTATTTATAACTAACGATAAAAAAAACTTTCGAACTTCTTGTTCTCTCCTCATGTTCAACTAATTCTCATTTTCATATTCATATTTCGTTTAACATTTTAACATTTTAACTTATTCATATTTTTGTTGATTTTACTTAATAGAACTTAGCCTTATCTTATACGATTTCTTTGTCTTCATTGGGTTTTATGTGGCGATTTCAAATGTAGTACACTTTATTTGCGTAAACAACTGGGATTGCTTTTACTTTGGTGTTTACATTTAGGTTTGCGTTTACTTTTACATGCATTCAGCATTGCGCTCACTTTTACCCATGTATATTTTTTGTTTACTTTTATATGTGCATATAGCTTGCGTTTACTTTAATACACTTCACTATGGGAATTACTACTGTAGGCCATAGCTGTTGATTAGCCGAGCACAGACGAACTTATAAACACTTTTTGGTATGCACTTTAATTAGTTCGACAGACGTATGATACCAAAAAAAAATGCACTGTACACTAATGCGGCATGCTGTTGGCGCTGGTTATGTTGAGCTCCTGATGGGGTTTCCTTATCCTCGTTGCACCGGGGTTTAGTTGAAGACGTTGGCGAACTGAACTGCCGTTTTGGGGCAGAAATGACTGATGATACGATCGCCGGCGGTACTCGGCGACGAAAGGGCATGTAAGAATGCCGTCCCCTATGTCAAATAAAACGCCTGAATGAGGGAATATTCACTTGCACCGGTTATAGGTTATGACTTACCCGTGAGGGGGTAGTAATTAACCGTTTTGGCCAGAATCTGGCCAAGAATTGGTTCACTGCGACTGTAACACCTTATGCCGTGCAAAATTTGTGCAGTGGTGAGCTGTGAAAGTCTTGATCGGCCACAACCTCTTTACTTTTAGTTGTATTATCGCTGTTGTTATGCCAGCTATACAACCGCTCAGGTCGAGACTCAGATTAAGAAGAAATCATGAGGTTTTCGAGGGCGGATATTACATGATGGGTTACAACCGGGATTAGAGCTGGGTTTTCGCTAAAAACCTTAACGCTAATGCAGTCCTACCTATTGACGATTAATCTTCCACTTTAAGGTTGCCATTTACAGCCTATACCGCCCGCTAGGTGGCACAACTAAACATACGATATGTCTTTCTATACTCCACTACAGGTGCCCATCCGCAACGCGATTCATTCCGCAACCGGAGAAGCTCCGTTCTTCACCTTATTCGGATGACACATCTTCCTGAACGGAGAAAGCTTCAAGTTGGCAAGGATGTTGAAGTCGCTGTGTGATCACGAAATGGCGGGGATCAGAACGTTTGATAAACTCCAAGTGATCCATGACAAGGTGCTGAAGAACCTCGAAAATGCATACGATCGGAGACGCATGCGGTACGACAAAAGTCTCGTACTTTCCTTGGTCGGACCACTAACCATACAACATATAGACTGGTCATTTCATACAAGGCATTTGGACACAAAAAACGGATCACGGGAAGCCCCCCGTGCTCACAGCAGCACGAGTTCAGTCGTTCAGTCGCAGAGAGGCGCTTTTTGTAAAAGGCTGCCCTGCGCTTGAATTCGTCTTTGTATGTATGCGTGATCATGCATTCTCATACACGGGAGCATGTGTGCATTTTTTAATGATTCGCAGTGTTATTTTAATTATTATATGATATTATTATATTATCATATTATTATATAAAATAAAATGTCGACGAAAAAAAATTTCGATTGAGAATCATTGCACAATTCCATTATGCCAACCTTTTTTCATTAATAAATTGGCCACATTTTGCCACTGCAATTTTTATACGTTGTTCCAATATTATAAAATGTTCAAAAAATTTTGTATTAATAATTAAATGGTTTAATGCTCCTGTTCTAAAGAAAATAAATTTATTTTACTTTCTCTTCTACATGACCAAAACTTGAATCAGAAGGACCTGCTTCCAATTGTGCATGTTTATTTTTGTTTTTATTATTATGATTATTTTCTTTCTCTTTCTCTGTTGCATTTTCTGTTGAAGTCGTCTGGAAAATACCAAAATAAACCGATACGTCAGCAGGTTGCGCTATCGATAAGATTCGGTGGTGAAACCGACTGTTGATAGTGGAAGAGGATCTAGCTATTCAAATTTAGCCCGGTTCGCTCGTTAAATGGGTTAAATAGCCTTGAATGCGTTTACTGACCCATTTTGGGAGAGCGGAAGGGAAAATAGCGAACGACTTTGGTGTAGGTCAGGGTTTTACATTAGTTGCTGCAAAAAGTCGTAGGCGAACGTTCGGAAAAAAATAGGAGTTCATAAATTCATAATTAGTGCTTAGACAAGTTAAAATGAGTAGTAATTTATTGGTCTTAAACTTATAAATAACAGAGCCCGGAAATTTGGAAGACTCGGGAAGGCAAAACACTTACCTGGTGGACCTAACCTGGTCGTGAAGACCACGTCGTTCACCAGCAGCAGCAGTGATCAGCAGCAGTGATCTGCAGCGGCGATCAGCATCAGCAGCCTCTAGCAACTGCCTGCGATTGCCAAATACTTAAAATTTTCAGCGTCTAAAAATTTTCCTTTAGTTATTGTCGCTTTGACCACTTCTCATCTGGGCGACGGTCTGAGATCGGCCTTAAGTGTTGCTAACGAAAAGAGTAGATTATGAGTAGAAATTAAATCTGAATGTGTTTTATAATTAATCTTGTAACGAACACACCTAAACGGTGTACGATACAATTTTTAGTAGTATGTAAGGTTATAGATGTAAGCGACTTATCATGAATAATAAATATTAAGTTAGTAGTATGTAAGGTTATAGGTGTAAGCGACGCATAATGGATAATAAATATTAAGTTGAAACCGAATATTAAGCCGTAGTTAAGTTCCAAACCCGAGTGGCAACGCCAGCCGATATTTAGTGAGTAATAGAAAATACTAGGAATTAAGGAATATACTAGAAATCCCGAAAGCGAGAAAAAGGGAGCGTGGGGAAGGTGGTCATACACCGATCGAGCGAGGGTTCTCTTGTGTCGGAATGGTAAGACGGGGCCGACGTGTCTCCCGCAGTGACTTTCCGTGTAATCCGAGTAACGCCTCGACCGCGCGACGGCACGCGACCAGTGAATAAGTGAGCTGATCAGTGTTTTGAGGTTAGTGTGTATAACATTCCTCCCCTGTAAGTAAACCGGTGTAGCGGACTCTTAGGAGGGTATTAGATAAATAAAAATAATCTAGAAAAAATAAAGAGAAGAAGTAAAAGTGAAATCCCTCGTTTGTGATTCTTGTATTCGTAGTCGACCAGTAGCTTCTCTCCTCGTAGTGCATGTGACCTGTATGCGGACATCCGTCCCGTCTGGTCTAGTATCCTAGCTTCCCTCCCCGTAGTATTTGAGACCTGTACTTGGACACCCGGCCCGTCTGGTCTAGTATCTTAGCCTCCCACACCGTAGTATTTGAAACCCGCACGTGGACGCCCGTCCCGTCTGGTCTAGCATCTTAGATTCCCGTCCAGTCTGGTCTAGTACCATAGCTTTCCTCCTCGGAC